ACATAACTAGCTGGCCAGGAGTCAAATTTGGTCTATAGCATGAACGCGTTGATCATATTATGGGAGTTGTAATAGCTATAACTGACTTGATCATCAACAGAGCAATGCATGATGGGAAGCTGACGCGTAATTATAGGGTGAAGATCTTTCATGCTGCCAGTGCTCATCAAAATTGATATTTTTGTATTTATAAAAATCTCTCCCGTATCCACGAGTTAAAAACGGCTGAGATCTGGGGTCAGTGTACTGATATCGGGATCGACAAAATTTTTAAGGAATAATGGATTTCGAAAACTCGTCTGAAAATTCTGATGCAATCCTTCTTAATAAAAACTATGGAATTTCAAATAAGCTTTTAATATTCATTCACCATCCCTTTCTTTTTGGTCATTTTGTTGTTTTTTTTTTTTGTTAAGAATCAATCCTAATCCTAATGCTTGGGATAATTGCGTATCTTGGTACGCGATCCGGCTGGACCATCACTGATGGATATCTAACTTTACCCGTGTTTTCTTCCCATATACGCCTTCTTTTCATTTAAACATTCCTTCTGTGAGGAAATGACAGCGCGATCACTTTTCTCACCATTCTCGCTTACGCTCGCGGTATGGGGAATCAACGATACCTTTTATCATTTTTTGCTTTAAAATCTTGCATTCCTTTATAAGATTGTGAAAGAATAAGTTTGATTTCTCCTAGTGATATTTATTTTATTCTTTTAAGGAAAACCTCTTCATATTTACGTTATTTTTACAATAGGTTCCCTTTAGTAGAAAAAACTTGTGTGAACGAATCTTACTCCGTCATGTTTTATTCATCTATTACTTTGGTTCACAAATGAGGCTTTCTTTTCCCAATGCAATTACGCCTGATTTATTATTCCTTTTTTGCAAGCACGAATTCGTCACACATTCATCGATGGGCGTGCAAACATATCTCTACGCCTAATCAGTGACGTATCAGCCAATTATTGGCTGCAGTTGTTAATCCATATTCATCAGAATATGTAAAATTTTCAGCAAACCACGCCGTCCGTCGGCGAGTGAAGAGGTGCCGTCCGTTGTGCCGAAGATAAAGTTGTACTCTGGAAGAGTGAAGGCGCTGGACCAAGAAAGAAGAGCAACGACATCCAGTCTTCAGTTACTACAACCGAAGGTGAGCATTTCCTTTTTATATTATTGCCTTAAAATTAGCAAAAAGCCAAACGAGTCGTATCATCTCAATTGAACGTGTTAACACGTGTCGGTTTCTTGGTGTGAGGGGCAAGTCAAGTCGGAGTTCGAATGAATAAGGGTGTTGGCTTCGAGAAGAGCAGAACCTACGATTAAAGAAAATGTTTTGAGAAAGGTTTTTATCTTTTGTACGCCGCTAAATGAAAGATGTTAACAATAAAATTTCTTTTATGACTTCATTCTGTAGTTGAATGAAGCCACGTGGATTTGTGGCGACCCGTCCACAAAATAGTTTGGCGGGCTTTGCTCCATAGCGAATTATATTTCGAAACTTATGGTGCTTTTCCTTTTCACCAATTGTTTTAAAGAGCAAATAAATGGTGAATGATTTAAAATCAGAAAGTATCATTACCTGATCACATTCATAACTTATATTCTCAGGAGAAGCAATTAAAGATGTCAGAAGAATGGAAGGATAAAGATTGCGGTCAAGAGAAGACATTGGAATCACTGAATGTTTAGTGGAATATTGCAAAGATAAGAACTTTAAAATTATTGTGTAATAGTAGCAAAAATGGTAGCTCTCTAAACGTTTTTTTATTGTAAGAAGACTTAGTTCTTTTACCAATTGTCACGTGATGGATAAAACTGGAGTACATGGTAGTTGAATACTGTTGTATTAGCCACCATTTTTTGGAAGCAGTTATGATATGGATTGCTATGCAAACCCTTGAGCGGTCGTACGATCTAGTTGAACTTCTAGCGGGGATTTGGTGTAATTTTATCAGATTATCTCGTCACATCGAGTTAACCAAAGTAACAATTGGAAGTTTATAGAAACCTGGATACAGAGAGGTGGAGCTAGAATTTTTGATTCGAAGAAATGATCGCTCATTTTTGTTGTTTGCTTTGCAATTGTATCGCAGCTGTATTTCGGTTGATGTCGCACAAAGGTGATATTTCTTTAGATGGCACTTAAACTAAGCACCAAATGGAATTCAAAATTGGAATATTTTGATAAGTTGGCATTGGTCAAAAATCACATGGCAGAACACCAGCCACTTACAACAAGACTACATTATTGACCAGAACGCTGCTCTATGTTGGTCCAGTATTACATGAACTATCTCCAACGACGGACTTTTAAAACTGGTTAACTGACTTAGAAAAGACTCCTCGACAGGTGACAACAGCTACTGCACTTTACCAGAGGCTTAAAAAAAAAAAAGAGCCAGCAGGGCCACCGACAGATCAAACAGAATAAACAAACCCGACCCTACCGACTGACCTAAACTGACTGATCAACACACGAATGCTAGTCGAGTCTGATAGCCAATTGACTTCAGTACCAACTAATCAAACTAATCAGACTAATCAGTGATTTTCGACCTATCAAGAACAATCCTTTTTGGGACTACTCTCAATGGACAGTCGGATAAACACGACTGAACACAAAATGCTACCAAGAAAAACTGGTCAGAAATACCGATTTAACTGAAACTTAGGATTTTCTGTTTAGAAAAGGAAGCATTTTTTCCATTTATGAAGCAAAAAGATCAGTTAAGTGCCATCTTAGATTTTATATGCTTCTTTGTGCCATCAATCGAGTCTTGTTTTAGTTTGATAGTTTTATATTTTTAAACTAATGCCTGGTCACGAACTTTTTCTCGAAATGGATTTGGTTAAAGAAATTTTCATTTCTATTAGCCAGTTTAAATTTACTCTTCACGAAGAAATAAGATGTTCATGTTTCATTTTAATAGATATAAAGATATATAAAGATGATGAATTGTTTCGCAAATGGACAAAAAATACGGTTAAAACGTGAACCTGCAGGCGAATATCTAGACCAGTGCAATGAAATGCGGCTATTGACAAACCGTTGTTGTGAAAGTATGATTGTCTCGTACGAACGATTTTTGCATTTCTATTTACTCGTGTGACGATTTGGGATTTTGGTCCGGCGCGACAATTGTTTTTCAGCCAAAGGTGTGAATCAGAAATGCAAATTTAAAAAAAATTGCTGTTTTAATTGTTTACCAAATCAAATCGATCAAGTTGAATTTTTTCGCATATTTATGACTAATTGTCTTGCAAATCGGCGAAAATAGTTCACAGTTTGGACAAAATCAAAGTGAACATACAAGCAAATATTTTGACCAATGCACATGAAATACGACTACTGGCAAACCGCAGTTCTTTCGAGAGAGGGTAATTCTCCCCATACGAACCAAAAAAATTGGAGAAATTTCAATTTTACTTGCTCATTCAACGATTTGGGAGTTTGGTCGAGCACGATAATTATTTTGGTCAAACGTAGAAAGCAGATATGCAAATTAAACACAATTAACTGATATGATTGTACACCAAATCAAATCAGTTATATCATGTTGACATTTTTCGCAAAATGATGATGGAAACATATTTTTATATTATAACTTGAAATTTTGAGCAAAAGGCACGTTGATTTTACTAAAGCGAACGACGAACCAAAAACGCATTGTAGCAAGATACAGATTAAAATTTGTGATTGAAACGAGTTTATTGTGAAAACTGCGATGGTTCTCTTTAAACTGGTTTACACAAGGTCGTTTCTTAAATACGAATTTTCCAGGTAGTCTACAAAACTTGTACATTTGGTCGCGTTCGAAATACTGAATCATTGGTGGTTCCTAAGACCAGGCATTTAGTTTTTAAATGTATCTTAGTTTTCTTATCAACTCACTATTTTAAGAGGAAAGAAGATCTTTTGTGTAGCCACCCGATGTAACACAGGAATACAAAAAAAGTTCACAAATTTTCCAGTTTTGATCTTCACATTTCGTTTATTGTCACAATAATTCAAAAAGGAACGCGTATAATGACTAAATTTTTCTGAAATAATGCATTTTAGATAACTTGGAGCCTAATTATGTCATTTCATAGCCCCTTTGTGGCAAAATTCAAATTCAAAGAGTTTGCTTCAACAATTAGAGCTATTTATTTTTCAAAATGTTCTTGATTTTGTTTTAGTACACATGGAGCCTATTTGCGAAATATTCTAGCCTAAAATCAAGTGAAGAGATTGCTCCTACAATGAAGACTATATTTTTCAAACATGGAGCCTAATTGTGAAATATCTTACCCTATATGGCTAAGGTCAAATTGAAAGAGATTGCTCCAACAGTTAAAATATTTCTTCTCCAACAAGTTGTACCTTTGCATTTCTCAAATTACTTCGAAGTAAGGGTAAGAAATCTGGAGCCAAACTGTAAAATGTCTTGGCTCTTGTGGCTAAAGTCAAATTCAAAGAATCGTGATTAAAGTCTTCAATGAATTTTCGGTGCTTTTACAATCTATATCCTGTGTTACAATCGTAAACTGGCGACGTTAAAGATCATCTGTTCCGAAAAAGCATCACGGCAAGCTATACACTACAAAAAAAGAGAATATTGGTTTGAAAAAACAAACGTGACTTTACAAATTGATGACAATTTGGCGATAAATTGTTACTGATTGGATTGTATAGCTTGCTATCAAGCTGTTTCGTCAACAACTTCCACACATCATCTCGTGCAAAGAATTTAGAAAAGGAACAAACTGGCTGAGAAATGGACAAAGTCAAGTCAAAATTTCATTTAAAAGCAACGGAACTAAGAATTTTTGTTTCCTTTTCAATTTTTTTGCACGAGACTTAAAGGAAGCCTTGTTAAAATTTTTGCCGCAAAACGTTGCAAGGGGAAACTCTGTGCAAATTGGTCCAAATTTTCCCGCCAAAGAAAATTTTTTGATTGAATAGAATTTAAAACAAATACAATTCTTATTGAAGACAATAAAAGATGAGACAAGACTGATCACTAAGCTTTATTGCCTTGTTTACTAATAGTAATACGATACAAGAAAATAAATACCAAGTCTATTAGCAACGTAGACTATATTTAGAAAATATAACTCTAATGGAAAAAAAATTCGGCGCATGCGTATTTTAGAGCACCGATTTTTTTAAGTTTTTTGGCGGGAAAATTTGCCGCATTTAAACAGATGTTACTTACAGAACAATTAAAAAAATACGGGCGCGCCAATTTTTATTAAGTTTTTTAGCGGGAACATTTCAAATTTTTAAACAGCCCTTAGCGATAACCTTCCAGACCGTGGCCTTACGAGTAGATCTTAGCTCTAACTCAGCATTTTGTTAAAATGAGTGTGCACCTCCGTTTTGTACCTTCGAATAAATCTTCTCTTTCACTCGGATAATTCTCTTGTTTGAAGCATCAGTCTGCAAAAATTGAAATAGTACAGTAAGCAAACACAATAGATTTTAAAATTTGGTTTCTAAAGATTACAGAAATAGTTATTGAGTAATGTAGGACAAGTGAAAATCAGTAATCGAGTCTTTAAGTATTATGTGACTAAGCAGACGAACGAGAACGTAATCTGGATTTAACAAAATGCTTTTGTCGTCTAAATAACTGAAGAAGCGCTTAAAGTTTTCCTTTGCTTGTGTTCAGGCATTCAACTTCATTTTGAGCCGACAGTGCAGCAACAATGAGCGATATAGATTTATCAATCTGAATTCTTACCAACTACTAACTGAATAAATCTATTTTCTGGGACCTTGAGCAGTTGGGACGGCAACGCCAAGGAAGACGTCGATTAAAAAATTAATTTCTACTTTAATTACAATTTTTGAAATGGCTGCAAGTGTTTACCGTCTCTAACGGCGCCACACCTCAACCACAGCATAACGTATATTAGCTGCGTCGAGTTCTAAATGGAACACCTCAACCACAGCATAACGTATATTAGCTGCGTTGAGTTCCAAATGGAAATTACAATAATTTGCCGTCGCGGTTTCCGCTCTCAGAGGACGCAAATGTTTTGGGGATTTCACGTTGTTGTTTTGCAAAAGGACAGCTAAGAAATGTACAAAGTTTCAAAACGCACGCGCTGGCTATTGTTCTCTGGCCCCGGTTGTTCGAAGGATGGATAACGCTATACACTGGATAAATCTCTATCCGGTGGATAGTTCAGTACGTTTTGGTAACACTTATCCGCTGGATAGCGATTTATCCCTTGGATAGCGTTATCCGCCCTTTGAACAACTGGGGCCTGCCCTTTAGATCTTTTGTTTCGCCACGTTGCCGTTGCCGTTTGTTTAAGGTCCCTATTATAATCACTTTGCGGGTCCTTCTTACTGTTGAAAGCGACGAACTACAGTACGTACTCTTGTTCAAATTTTTGACGGCAAGGCCAAAAAGTAATAAAGCCAAAATATCTGTTCGCAGCAAACTTTTAATAAAACCATGTGAATATATTCCCTAGTGCGCAAGAATTCGTTTACATTTGAATATTTATTATGGCTCTGAAGCATTTTTTCCTAGAACGAGAATCTACAAGCAAATTATCCATATTAAAAATTACTCCCTCCAAGATAGCATTGGAAAAAATTGTTCAAAGATATCATCCTAGAAGTTTTCAACGGGAAAACTTAGATCTTTAGACTTCGCGGCCTATGGAATCAAGGAATCTATTTTTTCACAAAGTCGGCGTTCCCTTGTGGACAACGATGGATAGACTTATTTAGCTTGTATATATTTTGCTTTAATGGAAGGTCTCAAGTGAATTCCGTCCTTTGCCTTTTGTAAATTTCGCATATATTTGCACGTGAATAAAAGGAAATTAAAACAAAATTCTCTAGTCTTATTACATGACTAAAGCCTTGATATAAAAATTCCGAAAAATAGCCTAAAAATCTTTCCGGAAATTCTCCAAAAGTCTCCATTAATCGCATAGTTTGCATAAAATGCGAGATTCTTGTGGTGAAATTGCGTGGAATCAACTCCAAACTGATTGAAATTAATCATTCATTTACAAGAAAATGAAAGTTTCACCTTCGTCTCCTTACATATTTCTCTTTTATACAAACAGTAACAACAATAAACGGGTGGCAGAGTTTGACAATTCCATGGAGCCCTCTCGGAAACAGTGGAAGAAAAACCGAGTAAATTTGTGTTTATGCTCTGACTGCATTTTTTTAACATCATCGCCAAAAAATCCTTAAATGTTGTAAGAATCCTTAAATTTTCTAAAAATCCCGTGACTCGAAAATTCCTTAAATATCCTAATTTTTTACCTAGCCATGACGCGATTTACATTGGGAAAACAAAATATACAAGCAAAAGAAGTCTATTAGTTTCTTTGGTGTCACAATATTGCTAAGCAGTTCTTGTAAATTGGATTAAGGGGGTAGTCGACAATTTACAGTTTCTGTGCTCCAGTTAAATGATACAATTTGCTCTCCAGGTTCATTCTTCTATGTCCGAACAATTTCTTCACAATAGTTCCTCATGGTGTTTTTTTTTTTTCAGGATAAAATAGGCCAATTTACCTATCCATACAAGAAACGATCTTGAAGAGCATGGGATAAATTTCCTTGTGATTTAAGATTCATTCACAATCCAATTTGTTATAAAAAAAAATGTAATTGTTATGATGCAGATGGTTTGATCTTTCTCTCATCTAGAAAACCTGACAATGCTCCACGTACCTTAGTGAAAATTAAAAACTTATCTGTGATAAATGGAGGAATATCATTATTGAAGCATACCGTTTCAAATTATTTTTTTAGGCACAAGAGCTCAAGCATCTAATAATTACACTCCAAGATATTTCTTGAGTCACTGACGCAAACAAGTACAGACCTATCTCTTTTACTTTCAAACTTTAACAGAGTATTCGAGAAAGTAATTTATAAAAGATTGACGAGCTACATAAAGAAACACGAACTTTTGTATTCCTCACAATACGGCTTTCGTAAGGGGCATTCAACCCAACACGCAATATTGGACATCAGGCAAACATGAATAACGATTGCTATGCTGTGGAATATTCATTGATCTCAAAAAAGCCTTCGACACCGTCGATCACGACATTTTGCTTGATGAACTCAGTCACTATGGTTTTCGTGGATTAATTAGTGATTGGTTTTCCTCGTATCTTAAAAATCGCACACAAACAATGAAGGTAGGCCATTGTATTTTAGATAAGGTTGTCGTTGGATGTGGTGTTCCTCAAGGATCAATTCTTGGACCACTACTTTTCTTGCTCTATGTCAATGATTTCCACAGATACTCGAATAAATTTAGGTTTTACCTTTTTGCAGACGACACTAACATTTTGTATCCGGACAAAAATCTGAAAGACCTAGAAACATTAGTCAACAACGAGTTACAAAACCCTTATAACTGGTTGACAGCCAACAAACTAACTCTTAGCACTAAAAAATCCAACTTTGTAATTTTTCATCCTTACCAAAAAAGCAACTGGCTTACCAACCAAAACTCTGCATTTTTCATAACGACCAGAATAAACATATTCGTCTCAAGGTCTAAAGTTTACATAAAATATCTGGGCGTTCTTATTGATCAGAATCTCTCTTGGAAATACCACATTGATTCTATTGTTACAAAAATTAGTAAAAATGTTGGGCTACTTGCAAAGCTGTAAGTCACTAATCCACCCTTATTTAACCTATGGTCTTGCCGCTTGGGATCAGGCATAACAAAATTTTTACTCCTCAGAAAAGAGCCCTTCGTCTGCTGTACTTCGCAGACTGGCATGACCATGCAATTCCTTATTTCTTAAAGCAAGCGTGCTTCCGATAACTTTTCTTTATTACGAGTCCGTATCAACCCAAATGCACGATATCAATAATAATAAAGCCCCAGCAAACATACAAAATCTATTTCAGAAAACGTCTAATATTCATTCATACAATACACGATCGTTTACGTCTGGAAAGTTTTATGTTAAAACTTCGAAACTAGAAATACAAACCAATTCCTTCTCTGGGATCGGAGTTAAGCTGTGGAATAAGATACCAAGCTGTATAATGAATCTCCCAAAGAAAACTTCCAAAAAAAGTCCTTCGCAAATTGCTATTTGATATTTTAGAAAAAGAAGATAACAGGCTATATTCAAATCCCCATGATCCTTATAAAAGTGGGTACATAGATACACCTTCTAAATTTAAATGTCTTCTTATCTTTTTTCTGTGTGACTCTGTGACTGTGTAAATAACGACTCCTCGTCCTAAGATACCAGGCGATTTATGTTATTCAGGTACTTGTCTTGCCCCGCCACGATTAGCTTTCTAGCTATTTGCGGGGCAAACTATCCCACTGTTGTTTTACGTAAAAAGATCAAAGGATAAAAATTATTGTTGTTGTTGTTAAAACATGTCCTCGTCTGTCGATGACAACCCCTAGATGAAATTTTGAAGACAAAGATCAGTTCTTGGAGATTTGTTTTTACATGTACGATGTACGTGCTCAAACATTAAGTGATTAGGCTCTAAAATGTTTACTGATTTACGTCAAAAAAGGCTCTATACGAATTGATGATTCTATGAAGAATTTGAGGAACAAATATCAGTTTTTGGAGCTTGCTATTTCAATTTTTGTTGGCCTCAACAGCTGAAACATTTCATAAATGGGCTCAAAAACGTCCATGGCTTCACGTACAAAAAAATGCCATATCACATGACGGAAAACTCATAAGCAATTCTAGAAACACACATCAACTATTGAAGCTGTACTATTCCAATTCGGTCAGTTTTCAGCTCAAGAGCTCAGAAACCTTAAATAGTCTATTTATACGTTAAAAAAAGCTTTATATATAGTTCTTATTAGCCGAGCGGGAGGTCTGTATGGGAGAATCTTGACCGAGGTCACCAGTACAGACCGAACGCAGTGAGGTCTGTACCAGTGATCGAGGTCAAGATTCTCCCATACAGACCGACCTAGCTCGGTTAATAAGATGTCTATTATATGGCTCTGTCTTATATGCCA